GATGGTAGTGACTTCAGGTTAACATGCTGCATGGCCACAAGAAGCCCAGAGAAAGTGAGCGCCAGGGCGAGGCGGGCAGAAGTCCTCTGCGATTAGCCCAAACACACTACCTGCAGCTCAGGGGGCCACCTTCCCCACCGGACATGGTTTGTGCATTCACACCTTTCCAAAGTTCTTCATACACACATTGTTTTGCAGGTCTACTAATAAAAACCAACAGGCAACCTTCTCACAATGTCTCTTTCCCCAAACTTGAGGGAAAAAAATTGCTGGCAAACAAAAAAAGGATTCAACATTGGTTTACGATATCTATCACTGAACATTTTGAAGTATATATTAGCTAGCAGCACACATGCTGACATATATCTGATGATAAGTTTCAGTGAAACATCTGACAATCATTAAACTTATTTCCCCTCATTTACACAGTTGTAGGGGGGAAAAAAGAACACAAGCAACAACTCAAACTAATATGAATTGAAAAAGCAACTTCTCATAGACATGGAGAAATGCAGCCTTTGAGTGGTGCTAGAAGATGACCAAGACCAAAAAAAAAAAAAAAAAGAGCCTAGCTCATACATGCATCTGTCAATGCTTACATACCTTGGATCAATTCAGCGCTGTTACAACCTTGCGGGTATGCAGAGTAATACAGACTATAGCCCCATGAAACGAGGACTTTCATGCGGTCCCCATCTAGTTTGTTTCAGGTCAGTGGAGCACACATTGCTCATGGTACTTCTGACGTGCATGCCTATCCACAAACTCCTTAGTAAATCTCTGGCAACATTCTTTAAACATTTCCACTGCCCTGCTCCTCACCCATCACAGAGGCATCCTTCTTATAGCTCCAGGGTTTTGTTGTTTTTACAGCAAGCAGGAAAAAAAAATAGCAGCATCCAATTTGATCACACTGCCTAGTTTCTTCTCATAAACAAAACAATAAGATAGTGGCCTGACTTGCCCACCTCAAATGCTTCCTGGGCACTCACCTCATCACTCTGGTGAAATACCAGTCACATTAAAGTCAGTAACAGCCCCCTCACTCCTCACGAGAGAGTAACTCAGATGTCACCGATTCTAGCCCTGGTCTTTCAGGGGCAGCAGTACGGCTTTTCACAGTAGTTAGTCCTCATGCAAACTCTGAGGGAAATTTTGAGGGGGAGTAATCATGCTATTACTTAGACTAGAGGAAGATGACTACAGAGACTCAAAGAACCCCCTATCGCATTACACTGTTTGTAGAAAATACTGATTTACCTGTATTATAATGCCACAAACAACCACTCAAATCCCTTCCTATATTATTCCCATCTACTTCCTTCCAGATGGAAGGATCCTGACTTGTTCCTCCCCACCCAGGAAAGCACATATCCAGACACAACTATTGGGGGTGGGGTGGGGGGGGGGAGTACCAACCTGCATTGGATATCTCAGGGGATCTGCCCAAGGGACTGACAGCACATGGAGTTATCTGCCAGTCTGCCATCCGGCACACTTCACTGTGCCTGCGTTTAAGGACTTCCTGTCTGAGCCAGAGAGCAGGCTTCTTCAGCAGGGTTGCTCAGCAGAATTGAGGGTGGCTGGTCACAGATTTGACAGACAGAGGTAAATCCCAACACTTCAATTCCAAAAGTTCTGGTTCAACCAGTTCCTCAGGCTTGCAACTGTCTCCCCCACACCAACCACCACCATTTCAGAGTCCTTCTTTTAAGCCATTTTTTACACCTACTTTAATTTCTTATGCTTCACATGCTGCACCAACACACAGGCCCCTTCTCCCCCTTCTAAAGTAAGGGGGATGAGAGAGGTTTCTTTCGCAGGCAGGATATTCCATCTCCTCCTGCAACGCGCTTCCCAGGGGAATTTTCCTTTTAGCACAGTCAAGACTTTGCAAGTCAGCTCTCCAATACTGCTGAGCCAGCAAAATTAACACCAGATACAAAAAGTTTTCTAGACAAGGATTCAGACCTCAGTAGCACAGGGTCCAGGTTGCCAAACAGCTCCCCAGATCTCTAGCCGAGTCGGTGAAAAACGCTCCTTGCTAGCAGTTCTGGATCACCGGCAGCTACACCAAAAGGTCAGAAGTATGCAAAGCTGCCACACTTATAACCTATGTTGTCTCCCCAGATGACCTACGAGGCCTTTCCGGTGTTTATAAAGGAAACATTCTCCTCCCTTCCCATCAAAAGGTGATGACCCGCAAATCTACAAGCCACCTTGCTCATGTCTCTTTGGAGACTCCACTCACCATTCAGAGGGATTTCCGACTGCCTGTACCAGGGGTCTAACTGTGAGAAAATACCTGCCTAGCACACTTCACCTAGAGAACTTCCTTTGCCTTATGGCATGATCAGAAAAGAACGTCATGCCTACTTTACCAGCCCGTGCAAGCAGATCTAACAGCTGTAGCTAGCACTAGGCCCATCCCGCAGCCCAGCGGAGAACCCAAGAGTCACAGAGAAAAGCTTTCACAAGTAGCAGTTCCTTCGAGACAGCAAGGTATGAAGGGGAGGCACTTTTCCCACGATAATCTTTTGCCCACGCAGTCTGCCCTACCGCCCAGCACCTTTGCTGGCTGCAGCTTCAGTGAGCTGAGCGGAAGAGTGCCCAGTGGCATACAGGCTCACGTCCTGCTGCTGTCAGCAGCAGGGCAGGACCTGCCAACAGATTATTCATCAGCAAAAAAAAGTCTCTCATTTTCCTGTGTTACCAGGATGAGGCCAGTGCGCAGACAGGAACACTGTGACAGCCACTCAGGTTTAACTTGTCTAGTTCCTAAGCTGCTATGGCCAAAGGGCCTTAGAAGTATCAGCTAGGGCAAATCCATATTGCAACTTCCAGTTCAAGGAAGGAGACGGGGGGGGAGGAAAATTGCTATAGGTATGAGCTGAAGGACTGTTTCTGGTGCTCCTCTCAGCTTGGCACGCACCAGAACCTATGCATCAGAAAAAGCACGTCTGGAGAAAAAAAAAAAAAAGGTCGCAGACAGATATTCTTTCACACTGAGATAACTCTCACAAACCCAAACACACACACAGAGTCCCTTACAGGTCTCCCATTTTAGGGTTCTGTCTGTAAAATCCAATACAGGCCCTCTCACTCAGCTCTTGTACATTAGCTACCCTTTCCTTTGCTATTATACAATCAAAACAAAACACTTCTCACCAAAATTACAAAGGATGCTGTGCAGGAGATGGCCCGGGAGCAGGTCTAAAGAGGCTAACATCTCTCTGAAGGTTGAGGCTAAGGTTACCAGCCAGAGACACGCATAAGGTACCCTATGCCCAACTAAATGAAACGTAAAATGATAGTTAAAGCAGCAGTGTTGGTTACAATTTAAAAAAATAATACCACCAGCTTTCTGCACTGCAAGGACTGTGTCCATAGGGAGCTTCATAACCTCTACTGTTCATTTCTTCTTCCTAAAATGTTTTCTTAACAAAAAGTGGGCTTGCCATTTTCCTTGCAGAAACTCCACACAAACAGCAATCCCCCATCTCAGATAAGAGCTAGCTCTACTCAGCCTACATACATGTGTGATAAACACGCAAGGAATTTACTCTAGCGTTTCCATCCCCTCACCCTAAGCTAGGGAAGGGGGGAACTGGCTGAAGAAAGTTAGAAGACCGCTGCTTTCTTTGTTTACAGGTACACTGCTCTCCACCAGAACAGATGACAACTTGGACTTTAATAAAAGATATATACATGCAAGCCACAAAGTGGGGGAAAGCGTTAGCTTCTGAAACACCTGCAATTCCTAAAGTCTGTAAAACACAAGAAGTAAAGCAAACCCAGCAAACCCACACTGGGTTGACGTGGTGGGGAGGGGGGGGACCCAGAAACGTCAAAGCACACAAGTGCGAGTCCCTCAAGGACGATGAAATATTGGGG